ATGCAGCGGAATTTTTGGGCTCTGCTGCAATTTAACACAGCTATGGAAAATTGCCCGTTTATAGATTATTTGCCCATTAGAAATCAGGATTTTCCCTACAGTAGCATTTCCGTAGCTGTGTTAAATAACCAGAAGGTAAACGTCTTCGCACCCACCGCGGATCTACAGGTGGTAGCAGTTTCCTAAAGTCAGAGCTTGCAGAATGGGCGAAATCCCCCCCGGCCCTTGCAGTCTCCTTGTCCAAGACAGCATGTGAGTCATGTGAGGGTGTTTTTCTGCTTGCCAGTAGGTCCTGCTGCACTTTGGTCACCTTGGATTAGGTGTCAAACTCTCTAAAATGGTGCGAAAGAAGCATGATTCAAGCGCAGCCTGAGAATGACACTCCCAGTTTTCAAGAAATCCAGACCTCTCCAGGCTTTACCAAGTGCAGCTTCGGCACCAGATTGACGGCATCCTCTGCCCCAAGCTTCAGTAGTCGAACGCGTGCCTCCACCAAGTTGTCGGCCGACAGAAACTTGCCATGCTGCTCACCATGTATGAAGCTGCGGGCGTGGTGGTGCCACTGCGAAGCAGTTTCAGCCAGGGGGGTCTGGGTGGGAATGTAGCCAGAGGTTTCCGCAAGGATGAGAAGCACATAGATGGTGTCTATCGGTAGGGTCGCCTGGTCAAAGGAATCGAGCCAAAGTGCGCTAAACTCGGAGATGGCCTGACACAGCGAACTGGCCAATGTCACTGCCATGAACTTTTTTGGGTTGTTTGATGTCTGTTAAGTTTTATGAATCTTTATGAATGTGAAAAATTGTTTTTTTTAACAAATGGTATGCTGTGATAAACATGAATCAAAATGGCTCAAAATTGGAGATACTGTACCCTCTGGTAATTGAACAGTTTGCTATTGAAAATTGCCCATAGAAATAGTTGATTTCCCATGATTTACCATGATTTACCATGATTTACCATGATTTACCTACTAAAAATCCGCCCACACCGCTTTGGCGGTGAAGGCGTGCTTATTGGGGGGCAACAGCAACACTAAATGCTCAATGACATTTGTTAATATAGCAGTCGCTATATCAGCTTTAGCTGGGGGGGGGCCCAAAAACGGTTTCGCACCGAGACCAGACCCCAAAAACGGTTTCGCACCGAGACCAGAATACGGTGGTGTTTTCGACATTTTCCGAGGATTTTTGGGTGTCTGAGCGCAAGAGGGTATTGAAATGGAATTTTGGGTCATTTTGGTAGCTTTCCGGCAATGGAAAAACGGCCAAAAATGAAAAAAACATTGTACATAGCAAGATTTTGCAGGGTTTTGGATGCCAGAGCATTGAAAACACTGCAAAAACAAGTGTTTTGGACTGACGTTATAGCAAAAAACGTGTAAATTACCGTATGCTTGACTGGAAACATTACAAAAACACTGTCAAAAGCAATGTTTTGGAAGGATTTACTGCCTTTATGGCAAAAAACGTGTAAATTACCGTATGCTTGACTGGAAACATTACAAAAACACTGTCAAAAGCAATGTTTTGGAAGGATTTACTGCCTTTATGGCAAAAAACGTGTAAATTACCGTCTGTTTGACTGGAAACATTGGAAAAACACTGTCAAAAACAATGTTTTGGAAGGATTTCTTATATATATTAATGTTGGAGTTGGCTACCGGCATTGGAACATGGAAAAATTGAAGAAAACACTGTAAATAGCGGTATTTTCAACGGTTGGGGAGATAAGGGAATTGGAAGCATTGTCGAACATGATGTTTTCGACCGGTTTTATGGCGACAAAAGTGTAAAGTACCGTGCTTTTGAAGGAAACCATTGCAAAAACATGGAAACACATTCAAAGAACACGGGGTTTGGGGGACTATCTAGGCGTCGTTGTCTAGCTATTTGAAATTCCGCAGTTTGGAGAGCCTCCAAGGGAGGGAAAAGTGAAAATTCCATAGCTTGGGAAGCTGTCACGGCGGGGAAAAGTGAAAATTCCCTAGCTTGGGAAGCCCCCACGGGGGGGAAAGTGAAAATTCCCTAGCTTGGGGAGCCCCCACGGGGGGGAAAAGTGAAAATTCCCTAGCTTGGGGAGCCCCCACGGGGGGGAAAAGTGAAAATTCCCTAGCTTGGGGAGCCCCCACGGGGGGGAAAAGTGAAAATTCCCTAGCTTGGGGAGCCCCCACGGGGGGGGGAAGTGAAACTTCTTAGCTTGGGGAGCCCCCACGGGGGAAAACCACCCTTAGCCCCTCTCACGGACCGAAATAAACCTGCGGTGTGGGGGCCACCCCACGCGAAGCGGGGTGAATAGTGATTTTCCAGTTCGCAAAACTGTAAACGTTTACCAGAGGCTACCCATAGGACCCACCAGGATGCTGGACGCCTTGGCGAAGTTTTGTCGCTCCACAGAGGGGCCAAGGCGTAACACGAGAGCCCGAAGTTGCTTGCACACAGAAACCTCAGCACATCATGAGGGCTGGTTGGAAAAGCAATGGAAAACCATAGGAAAACCATAGGAAAATGGGAAAATCATAGGAAAACCATAGGAAAATGGAGGTTTACCCTCTGGTAAACGTTTACAAATAACTATGGAAAGATCCACCATTGTTAATGGGAAAATCCACTATTTCTATGGCCATGTTCAATAGCTATGTTAAATTACCAGAGGGTAAGTTGCTTTAAAGATATGTTTAACGCTCAAGTAAAGATAAGTAAAGAAGCTTAACATCATCATAGTCGATTATATAAATATAGTAAATGAACGAACAAATTATATAAATAATGATGAATACATCAATACATCAGAAACATCAAGGATAGTCAAGGTTCATTTAAAACGACAAACATCCCAGTTTTTTTTAAACCGGCCCTTTGCCAAGCAGCCAAACGAGTGCAGCGACGCCGTCTTGCACTAACCTGCTCTGCCTTGATCTGTGCCGCGCTCACAACTTCAACGTCGGTCATTTGAGGAGACCACCTCGGCTGGTGGTGGCTGATGATATGATGATATATCAATCATATACGAATAGTAATATATATATAGATATACTATAGATATACTACTGATATACTACTGATATACTGATGATTACTATAGATATACATACTATGAATATACTGATATACTATAGATATGTCTATACAGTATCAATCATGTACGAATAGTATTATTGAATGATAGTATATCAATTAATATTGAAGGATAGTATATCAATTAATATTGAATGATAGTATATCAATTAATATTGACTGATAGTATATCAATTAATACTGACTGATAGTATACCCTCTGGTAAATTAACATAGACCCTGAAAACACCCAAATTTTAGTGGAAATTAGTCTTTCAACCCCTGTCTGCCAGGGTCTATGTTAATTTACTGGAGGGTATCAGATAATATTGACTGATAGTATGCCTATTAATATTGACTGATAGTATATCAATTAATATTCACTGATAGAATATCAATTTATATTGACTGATAGTATATCAGTTAATATTGACTGATAGTATATCAACTAATATTGACTGATACTATCTCAACTAATATTGACTGATAGTATATCAATTAATTTTGACTGATAGTATATCAATTTATATTGATTGATAGTATATATATATATATCAATTAATATTGACTGATAGTATATCAACTAATATTGACTGATAGTATATCTATTAGTATTGACTGATAGTATATCATTTAATATTGAATGATAGTATATCAACTAACATTGACTGATAGTATATCAACTAATATTGACTGATAGTATATCAAGTGATATGGACTGATATTATATCAATTAGTATTGACTGATAGTATATCATTTAATATTGACTGATAGTATATCAATTAATATTGACTGATAGTATATCAATTATATAATATTGACTGATAGTATATCAATTAATATTGACTGATAGTATATCAATTAATATTGACTGATAGTATATCAATTAATATTGAATGATAGTATATCTATTAATATTGACTTATAGTATATCTATTAATATTGACTGATAGTATATCAATTAAGATTGAATGATAGTATATCAATTAATATTGACTGATACTATATCAGTTAATATTGACTGATAGTATATCTATGGTATATCTATGGTATATCTATAGTATATCTATTTCATACCTTTAGAATATCTATAGTATATCTATAGTATACGTATATCTATAGTATATCTATAGTATATCTTTTGTATATCTATGGTATATCTATAGTATACCTATAGTATATCTATAGTATATCATATCTATATTAGTTGATATACTATAGCTGACAACAAAAGGCGGATAATGACCCATGAATGATACTGGTTGGAATTCATGACAGTTGGATGCCATAGTTCGACTCAATGAAGCTGAACAACGGGTTGTCTCTTTGCATTCCGGCAACTGAGCGCACCCAGTTCCTGTCTCCATTTGAATCGCAATAGCAAACACTATCAATGGTATTACTGTAATACAACTCCACCATGCATGTGATTTCCAAATGTGTCCAATGTCTTTGGTTTCTGTTTCTGCTGGATGTCATGCCATTTTCTGGCTTGGAAGAACGATGAAACACGGGTTGCCGGGTTGCGACTAGAAGGGACATGAGCCACTTGGATTGCAAGAAAGTTACTGCAGAAGGAACTTCTCATCGTCACTGGGCAGAAAGAACGGCAAGGCGGTGTGAATAGCAAAGTTCTTGATCGAGACTGCCAGGGCCGTCAGATCAGACAATTGGACAATGCTGAAACGGGCCGTGAGGTGGAGATGGGTGGAGGCTTCAACCCCTAGGCGCACGCCTTGCAATAGCAAGCCTCACTGAAACATCCATTCTCTTGGTCCTAATCTTGCTGTGCGCTACGTGATTGGACGCTTCAAGGTGTTAGGCTCTAGCCTCTAGACTATGGAAGGTAACCTTCCAAAATATTTGGCTCTGCTCAGTGTTCTTGGGGGCTTTGGCCAATGCTCGAAAGCTGTAGGAATTGGGGCAGGACATGGTAGGGAAACTTCAAAAGCGACTGGCATGCACAGACTTTCCAATCATGGCATCAGTTGCTTGGGTCGACGAAAACTAAGACTAGCCGCATGGGAGTCTTTCCCATTAACTGAGTAACTAAGGGCTTAATGGATCGTTAACTTGAGGGATTTCAACCATCACCATCAACTGATCTCTCTCTCTCTCTCTATTGGCCCATGCCCTCAGAAAATCCCTCGCCTGCAAGGTTGGCCATGGATTTCCCCTCCTTTTTGTTCTTTTTGGGGCTCTTTTCCTGCTCCTTTTTCTCCTGGGCCATGTCTTCTGCTGCTCCTCTGAGAAACTGTGCCACGATGTGAAGCCCAAAGAAGGCACAGGTGAATGCCATCAAGGAGACCAGCGAGCCCGCCAGGACCATTGTGACCGTGGTCGATGGGTTGAAGATCAAAATGATGGAGACCACACTGAAAAGGCTGAACCTTGAATTTACGTTGATTTAGGGACCATGGGATATCAAAAGATTTGCCCAGATATGCCCAGTAGATTCCCCAGTCATCCCAGTCATTCTATGTCATGGTGCGTTATGGTGGGTTAAGTTGTAACCTGTGGGGAGGGGAAAGTTAAAAAAATGACTCTTCAAATCCATTCAAATCCCACCTCGTGATCAGCAGGGTCATTTCCAGCACATCCAGAATGCGACCTTGCGCCTCTGTAAATGGCTTGTACCAGGAAAAGATTCCCAGCTGGCAACCTGAAAGGATGGGAAACAGCAAGAGCTTCGCCTTTTCATCAGCTGCCAGGCTAGTGTAGGTCACCAGATTCATCGTGCCAACATCCAAACGCTTGACGATGATGTCCCACCACCAAAATTGTGGCTCGTAGCCCTGAATGAAGAAGCCATACTTTCGGTTGTTGTCCGGGCTCTGTCTGTCTTTCATCGCCCAAATATTCAAATACAGCAGGATGGGAACACCAAGACACCAAACTGAAAGCCCAATGAAGCACATGATTGCAACCAGAAAATGATCCCGGCTCCAGCAGATCAATTCCGGATCAGGCTTTAGTCGCTGCTTTGTGATGGTGATCCCTGCGTCATTGTCCTCCAAAATCGGCACGCACCAGAGCAGTTTCAAGAAGTTGGACAGCAAGGTTGGCCACCTCAGAGCCGCGCCGAAAACAATGGTAGAGTGCGGACCGCTAGGATGGGATATGATGGGATGCAGGCAGTAAACTCAGGAAAAACGTTAATAGAAATGGTGATTTCATGGCAATTTCACCATTTTGTGTGGGGATTTTGTGGGGATGTTGATTTACAAACCAACAATCATGAGTCCAAAAGTGATCTTTACTGCTCGAAAAACTGCTCCCTGCAACCTTGCCAGCGTCTGCTGGAATCTGAGTGTTCCAAGCCACATAGACAGAAGCATGACCCAAAAAACTGGGATACATTCAACGAACAGTCTCCGCGGCAACGGTCGAGATGAGAACAGGCCGAAGTCGAGAGTTTCCTGAGTTGAAACATGTGGAAACAAACCTTGAGATACGCCAGATACGTCAATTTTCGTCAAGCATTCAAGACCATTCAAGCATATCTCAGTGGCAAAAGTTGACGAAAGAATATGAAAGAAGACACAGGAGAACTATGTGGCAGACGGAGCCTGTAACGGAGAATGGCTGCGATTCTCTGACATGTATATAATCTGCCTTCAAGGAGCGATATCCACAGTCGTGCGTGACATAAGCTGACCCTCCGTGACCAGCGTGTGTTTGCTGTGGGATCCCTGTAGAAGTGGTCGCCTCAGGATTTCTGATGGTGAAACTCTGTGAAACCATCTCAAACCATGTCAGCCCATGTCGGTTTGTTTGAACATTGGGTGCCCCATTCCATCCATAGCTTTATCATCACTTTCCTATACTTTCCTGGGTATTCAACGGCCACTTGGGAATGCCTCCCATTGTCAGACAGACCCAAATGTTTCACATTGAGGGGATTTGAAATTGATTCAAACCATGAATGGCTCACGGTTTGACATCCAATTACTCACAGTTCTTGGTTACCCATTGTATGCTCTTGGAGCTGTCGCTGTCAAAAACCCATGAAACCCCAAAAGGATCCCCTTGATAGTTCTGGTTTGTATTGTATCCCCCTTATCCAGTCCTTCTACAAGGTCAACCCTCTGTGCCTCACTGCATCGCATGTTGCCCTGCATAATGCTGTGAAGGCCTCCGTTTGCTCGCCCTGAGATGCGCAGAATCAACCCCCAAAAGGATGCCTTTTTAGCTGGAATCCTGGAAAATCTGCGGAAAATGATCATCTACCCTCTGGTAATTTAACATAGCTATTGAAAATGGCCATTTATAGTGAGTTTTCCCATTAAAAATTGTGATTTTCCATAGTTATGTTAGTTTACCAGAGGGTAAACCATTCTAAACCTATCTGAAGCAGCCAACCTGACAACCTGGCAGTTTCCATCCGAGAGTCGGCAAAGACCCTCTGGTAAAGGTCCGCTGCGGAGTCGTAAGAATCTGCCACCTGCCCAACATCCCAACGAGATGCCACAGCGCGTCCAGACGTGAAGACGTGAGAGTTCCATGGTACGACTGTAGTTGATTAAGTATAGTAACCGGAGTAAACCCCAAAAAAAGAGAAAACACTATTTTAGCAGGGGTTGACTTTTCCATCCATTTTGGGGTTGCTATAGTATATACATGTTTATAGAACTGAGAACTTCATGGTGAATACACAGATGTGTTTTTTTCTTGCTGGGGCTTCTCAGAGGAATACACAGATGTTGCACAAATGAATGTGTTGGGATGTTGGCAATCATGATGATAGTTTATAACAGGATGAACATACAAACATAGAAAAGAAAACTTCATCGAAACAATGCATACATGCAGCGTAAATCCATACGAATATGAATGGGCTAAATGAATCTAAATGAGTCATGACCCCCCACTTGTTGGATCTTATTTGTGAAGATTGTACCGGAACTTTTTCTTGATGAGTACAAGCCCCACTGGGACAAGCTCCAAACTTGAAACATGACAAACAAATGCAGCAATGAGTTGAACACCATTAGAGGCTCCGCTGTGGGTGTCATCAAGCAAGCTGCTACCCACAAGAGGACCACACACCCTAAATTCAAAGCGTCCGCAGTACAACCGTCAGAGGGCAAATGCATGACTAGCTCCAAGAAATGTGAAGCATCCGCTGTATATAAAGGCAAGAACTATGTCCCAAAGCAAATAGCATTGATAGCATACAGTATTACAAAATATTATAAATTATGAATTATAAATCGATCATTGGAGCCGATTCTGAGGTTATCATGAAAGGCACGAGCTTTCGAAAAGTCGTGCCATCCAAGAGCCGTCCTAATGCCGAACGTCCCTGAAGCAACTGCTTTGCAAAGGACCGAACAGGATCTAACAGGATCCTGCCTACACAACATTAATCCGAGCATTTGGTTTGCACGCAAATGCCACAATGCTCAAACGCGGTCACTTCCCAGCAACACTGATATACAAAGGCGAAAGGCTGAAAGAAAGACTAGAAGCAAGCCATCATGATAGCCAGTGCTTCTCCAAAAACATAAAAAAGCATTAAAAAGCATATTCGAAGACGGATCGCAAACAGGCGAACATTCGACTTTTGTTTAAGGCAGTTTGATGGCTTTGGCAAAAGCCAAAACAAACAGCAATCAAATGCGGGCAGAGGGTTTGAAGCAATGATCGTGAGAAACTCCTCAAGCTTAACTTCAACCTGTGCTTGCTTCATCTAGGTATATCTAGGTTCTTGATGCGACTATGCGTTGGGTCTTCGCCCGGGATCTTCTGTCCGTTCTGTATCCAAAATGTCGCAGGGAATTGGTGGGGAACCATTTGCAGAAAACATGAATACATCTTCGATCATCTTCTTAAATGAAAAATCGAAACAAATACATACTGCAATATACTGCAATAATCTGCAATACCTCTTTCAACATCCCTTTATCATTACGGTATTTATTACAAATTATATCAAATTATCATAAATTATCAAGGTAAGAGATGCATATTCCGTACTGGTGTTGCCCAAAAAGTTCTCTCGCTGCCTTTGCTGCAACTTCCAACGGGTCCACATCGGCCAGCTCAGCTTCCTCTTGAACGATAGCTCGATGTTTCCACACCAGGGCCCGCTTCGCCTTGGTTTCTCAGCATGGGATCAGATCATGCAGCGACATGCAGCGACTGAACGCAGCTGGGAGGCAAATGTCTCCAGTTCGCTTGGACTCAACCTGGCACTTGCACGCGTCGGCTGGGACGCAGAGAAATATTAGAGAAATGCACATGGCTGGGTCTGAAAATGAGGTATCGTAGAGGTATGCCCCAAAATTTCAATGGTTGATCATCATTGTTCCTATTCACTTGCCATATATTGGGTGTACCGCATACATCGGGAAAAACTCCATTTTCGGACAAACCCAAAAGCACCTCCGCAAAATGTTCCCGTGTTGGCCGGATACAACACACAACAATACAGCAATGGCGAAATGTCTCAGTACGAAATTCACTACGGGGGGATCATATTGATGACGAATTATGACTGCCTTCTAGTGATTTCACATAGCTATGGGAAAAAAAAAGTCCGTTTTGTTCGATGATTTACCATTTTAATCCATGTTAAATAACGGAGATGTTCCATAGCAAAGTCAACGTATGGTATATTGCCAGAGGGTGTTCGGTACGGATAGGCGGAGGTTTTTTCCAAACCCTTCAATTGCTCGGACCAAGTAGCTGCTGTGTGGCTGTTTCCTGCAAGCCTGCAGCATTGTGTCATGCAGCACTCATAAATCATCAATGAATGAAACCAACAGTTGAGGAGTTGTTTCCCATGTCATAAAGCATCTAAGAGTGGTGGATAGTGGTGGATCTCTCAAAGCAAAATGGCCATCTTTTAATTTTTGAAAAAACTTACCCTTACCGGGACCCTGAAATAGCCGACATGTTCCTGACATTTGAGGCTCCAAGATTAGCTGGGTCAGCTTGGTTTTGAGCAAGGAGCTTTCTGGTGTCATTCCCCACACCAGCAGCTCAGGCTTGGCAGTGAAGGCATCCCAGTTCAGCCGAATCCGCCTCGAAAGAGTCGCCTCGGAGCTACAAAAACCCGAACGTTCCATGATTTTCTGTGACCTCCCAGGACCTTCCACAACTTATCCATCCTATCCTCAAGATCAGCTACAGGAAGTCCTTTTCATGGCTTTTTCAATCAACCAAGTCACCAAATACGATTCACTGCGAGCACGTTGTAGGCCTTGGACCGTCACCATTCCCCATCGCCAAAGTGGCTGGTCCACTACTCATGGCCCATGGCTATAGAATCATCCCCATCAATGCCGCTAGCCAAGTCGCACATCTTTATAGCCAGGGGTTTTGAGAAGGCTAGCTCTCCTGCAGTCTCAAGTCGCACCAGCGATGCGACTTGCTGCAATGGATGTTTAACACATTTGTATACAGTACATGTTTGTGTAGCGTGTTTGTTGATATTGCGTGTGCGCACAAATGAACCTATTTGACCTATTTATCAACCTGTGCATATATATATATATATACAATCATTCATTTGTATGTCGTTGTTTGTTGTTTGGCATTGTGTATGTCTATATATATATACATACATATATAGAATTATCATGATGATCATATATGCCGCCACACTCTCTGCGGGCATACTCTATGTGAGCATGCTCTGTTAACTGTGCGTTGTGCCATTCTCAGATTAACTTTGATCCCAGTTTCTCAGTCACGGACATGGGGGGCACTCAGCATGAAAATCTATATGTGAAACCATTCTATGTGTTACTATGGGATAAACATGGATAAACCTTATCCAAATATCATGGGCATTGCGGACATTTCAACCTCGGGATTCTTCTTGGAATGGTTTTTACCTGTAAGTTGACGGCCAACAGCCGCAGGTTAGAGCAAAGGAGAAAAAGTAAAATAATAATCAAAATACCGCCTATGTAGTAACCCCCACAAGATAGAAATGCAATTTGCTTGTCGTTTATCTATAGTCTATAATCATATATAAAGAAATGGTCCTTTTCTATCTTTATCGGGGTTGCTACCGCATTCAAGAACGGGCCCGGGGTAGCTGGCAGGTTGGGGATGCATCGATGCATCATGATGCATCCATGGCTCCCTCGATGAATTCATGAGGAGCTTCAATGCCATCCTCGATGCTCTCCAAGGTTGCTGTTTCTAGCACCCCGGACTCCTGTAGCCCACCAGGGCTGGAGCAAGTCAGCCAAGATGTCAAGTCAGAATCAACAGCGACATCAACAATGACAAATAAAAATTGGGTGCAGTCCTTGACGTCTTCCCAAGTGAGTCCAAGGCCGGGCAACAGTGGTTCCAAACACATGGACAGCTTCTCAATGGCAGCTCTTGTTGCCTTCTGTCGCTTTGCTTTGGGATTGAAGTGTACGCCAAACTTGTTGGCCAAAGGAACCAAGCCATAAACCACAGAGGCACACACGAGATACACACTGACCATCGCAAAAATGGGGTTTGTCAGGTAGTACACCGCAGGACCCATCAGCTTCAAACCTTTCATCCTCGGTCGAAGCAACTGGGACCACGAATCAGCCATAAACATCAGCTCCGAAAATATCTGCTCCCTGCAAACAACAAGTCCTTGACACCACAAAGTTCAAGGAGCATCCATCTCCCATTTTATATATTTATATTTATATATATATATATATCATTAATGATTGCTTTGTAACGCCCACACCGGCACCCCTCGATGTCCTGCCATCTCCTGCCATGGCTCTCTTTATTCTGCACGATGGTTTGAGCAAAACAGCTCGTTGCGAATTCCACCGTGGCGATTCGCGGCCTTGCAGTGACTTGTAGGAGACGACTTGCTGAGCGCAAAGCGAAGACTCTGCAGGAGATTTGTGAAAATCAGTATTGTTCGGAGGATACTCCAAGTTCGCGTAAAGGTGTTTTCAAAATTATATGTTTTATCATGTTTTATCAAGTTTTATCCGTCTTCGGTCAGCCTTTTTGGGGCCTAGGTTTTTTCACCTAACCATAGCCGCTTCCCCTCCAGCTGCTCCAGCTCTGAGGCGACGACACGACGTTCAAAACCGAAAAGAGGCTCTGCATCGCTTGCGTGGCTTCTGGAGGCCAAGGCATTTTCAGCCCCTGAGTTGGTGAAGAAATCCGTGAAGGCAGGCACTTCATTAAATTCGGACCCCCCGGTCACGAGCTTTATCATTTAGTCCTGATGAAAAAAACCCGAGAATTTCTGGCACGACTTTCTACACCTGGAAAAATCGTACCGTAGAAAGCCGTTCTCTTGAGCATGCGCCGTCTGGGGCCTCCGAATCCGTGTTGCATGCAGTGGCATTTGCATCAGCGCATTCTTGCAATTGCTTCATCTCCTCCTCGTCCTCTGACCAAGCAAAGCTTTTGAGTTGGTCCAGATTGAACTCTAGGAGGACAGAACCTGCGAACTCACACATCCTTCGCGAGCATACTGTGCTTGTGTCGCCATGGACATGGGAGGGCGTTGGAACCAGATCACATTTACACAACATTACACAACTATGTTCTCTTTTGGGTCCTTCAGTCTTGCTACATTGAAAACGGAGATTCTCACCGTGCAAGAGCATCTGAAAACAAGATCTCTTGGCACAGGCTGATGATCACTTGTGATTGTGCCAGGTAGCAAGCTGCTATCCATTGCGAGCCGATACCTTGTCTGACAGAAAGGCATCATACTTGAATCAATTGAAACAATTATCACACCGGTGTCTGACAAACTACTGCGAAATAATGCAAGGTGCGAATGATGCTGGTGTGAAGCTTCACACCCCCTTTCACCGCAGTCGTGGCAGCCATCACAGCCACCACAAAGTTCATGAAGGCCTTTTGAATGAGGTCCGACGCAATTCCCAACTCAGTAGGCGTCGCTGTGGGAGCCCAATGGTGTACCCATGGCACCCCTCCATAAATTCATCAGGTCGGGTCAACCACGCCATCGTATTGTGTTTTGGGGTAGGCGCACATCTACGAAATCCCAGCCCTGACAGACAAAACACTGTTCTATGAAATGAAGACCCAGCGACAAACTCTGCGTCAGAAATGCTTCAAAACAGAACAACTTTTCGAACGCTATATAAATGCTGTATACAACAAGGGTTCTGACCCCCTCAAGATTCTAGTCTCTTCAAAATTGATTCTTAGAAGGGCAGTTGACTGCCCGGATTTTGTAATTAGAGGAAATTCACCAACCCGGTACAATTCTGAGTGAGTTCATCCTTGCACCTATACCTAAACGCAAACCGCAATTCCTTCTCAGAAGGAAAGGGAGGCTGCGTAGCAGAAGGACGAAAGAAAGCACAGGCAACCACCCGAGGGCTGACGCGGCCAGGAAAAAACCACCCTAGAGGCGGGAAAAAAAACCTGGCCAAGGTGCTGAACCAAAGCTATGCATGGACCGAGGCCACGCCACAAACAAAAACATATTGCCCGAAACCAAGTCAGCATGGGCAGCGCAGCTTAGCCGGGCCAGCTGCTGAAAGAGTGGGCAGAAACAAGTAAAGGCCTCTCACTGCCAAAGCAAAAGCCGCCCAACTTCTTGCCCCAGGAGCAACTAAGGTCTAGCTGGTCAGCTCAGCCCTGCGGCGCAAGGCCGCCCTGGCCCGCCAAGATCGCACCAGGACGCATGCCTGCTGCAGCAAGGTCGCAGCAGCGGGGTCTGCCATAGTGCCTGCAGCAACGCAGCGAGCAATGTGCCCCAATGCCTTGGCAGCCTCGGGGGCCCAAGCCCCGGTGGTCTCAACCACCATCGGCAAAAAGGCGACTTGCTGGGCTTCGCATGCAGCCGCAGTGTCGAGATGTCGGCGCTTGTGGTCAGCATAAGCCACAGCAGCTGTAGTGGCTCCCCTGGCTCCAAGAACGTCCAACCGCTGAGGTGCCGTGACGGCAAAGTCAAGTGCAGTTGGACGACCAAGGAAAGAGGGAAGGTATACATCGGCTGGTCGGCGGCGGGCGCTGCTGACGTCATCTGGCCGTTGGGGCAGCAGAAGCCCAGCCCGTTCCTTTTCAGGCCGTAAGCACGCCCTCTCAGCCCAGCTGTAGACCAGGTCGCGGAGCGCGTTGTGCCGAAGCACGCGCTCCCCGCCAGCTAGGCACATGCCAGAATGATGCCCATGGGTGTCGAGGACTGCATCGCACTTGGGACACCAAGCATCTTGGCTGGCTTCAGGCACACCAAGCCGCACACGCACTTCCGCAAGGAAGAGGGCAGGCTCCATCTTGGTGCGCCCGCTTGGGACACAAGTGAGAAACGCTCTGGCACCAGGAGCTGCTTCAGAAAGGAGAGTGGCTTTTTGAACGGCCGAGGCGCCGGCAAGTTGCGATGTCCAGCCTGCCTCATCCACCAAGTTGCTGAGCTGCTTTTGCGTATGGGCCAAGGCCGTGGTGGCCGCCAATTGTTGGTTTGGGGGGAGGGCGGCATTCAGGTCGGACAAAGCGGCAGCAATGTCCCCGGAGTGGTCCACCCAGTAGCCGCTGTCCAAGTCGCCGCAGAGGTCAACACATCCGCCCACAGAGGACAAGTAGGCACCAGCGGCATGCTGGCGGGTGGAGCGAAGTCCGAGGCCAGCATGGCTCAAGCCACGGGTGGCCTGCTCCCACTGGCTAGGTTCAAGGTGCAGACCGCTGAAAGTGCTGAAACAAGTTTGCACGAGCTGGTCAAATTTCCCGAGGGCTTGGCTGTGTCCTGCAGGAGGGCAGCACCGCATGGTGTGCACCAGGCGGGCAAAGCCCGCTGAGGCCCGGAGCAGCCGCAAGGCGACTTGAGGATCAGGAAGTTCTCCAACAGCGTCCAGAAGCTTGCTGGCAGCTTCAACACGGCTGGCGGCGTGTGCTTCCAAAAAAGCAGGCCGTCCAATGGCTGCACCCAGAAATTCAAAGTCCCTCAAAACACGGCTCACCCCATCAGGTTGAGTGAGCAAAGCAGAAGGCAGGTGCGCCGCCAAGGCGGCAGAGCTGGTTCTTCCAACTGCAATAGCTTCACTCTTGTCAAGGTTCAAAGTCAGCCCCAGGTTGGCAGAAGCTTGCTGCAGCGTTCCCAGAGCCTGCGCCACAGCTTCAACGGGGCCAGCCAAGACCCCGTCATCCAAGTAGAAGACGGAAAAATCAACGGGCCCATTTCACAAGGCTGCCGCAACAGGCTGCAGCGCAGCGGCAAAAAGCAGCGGGCCTAAGGGGTCGCCTTGCTGCACACCGGAAGTGGAGCTGAGGGTTGCACTGCCAAACTGCAAGGTGCTGGCTGCCTGGTAGCACCAGGTTGCCCAGCGGGCCAAGGCAGGGAAGTGCTGCCGCACTTCTCGTAGCACCACGTCACGACTGACGGTGTTGAAGGCATTCCGGAAGTCCACCTTGACGACGACCGAATTGTTGGAAGCAGCATGGCGGCCAACCCATGCTCGCAAGGCATGAACGGCAGCCTCACCACCAGCCTTCACAGCAACCCCAACTTGCGCAGGCCACAGGTAGGTCTTGGCGTCAGCACGCACCTCATGCATGAGGCACTTGGCCGTCAGGCGGCGCAGGAGCTCTCCAATAGCAATTGGACGCACACCTTTGGATGGCTTAGGTAATGCCACCAGCCCCGCCCCAGCAAGCAAAGGCATGATGCTGCTGCATGCATGCCCTTGCACGAGCAGGTTAACCACCGCCGTCAACTGGTCCATGAGAGCATCTCCCGCACCAAGCCCCAGGGCGTCCCGCACATGCTGGATCCGCAGGCCGGTAGGGCCAGGCGCCGTGTCGGCAGGGAAGCTCCGAAGAGCTTTGCTGACGCACTCGACGTCTAGCACTGGGGCCATGGGCAGCTCGTGCAATGGAGGCACCGAGGGGGCTGGGGACGTCGGATGCAGCAGGCGCAGGGCAGCAACAATCTCAGGCGTCTCTGGGCAAAGCCCCTGCGAAAGCAGGGCGGTGCAGGCTTTCTTGTCAAAACCTTCACGGGCCAGTCCTATGGCATATTCCTCCTTTTGTTCGTCCGTGAGGTGCCTCTGGGCCCGCTTGGACGGCTGAATTTCCTCATGGAAATTCGTGATTCGTGAGGATCCTATGGCTGTTCCAATCCCATCAGTTACACTTACCTGGGTTCGTATTATACATGCGTTTTTCCATCAGTTTCAGGACCCGTTTCAAAAGGTCTGTGAATCTAAGGGGCTGCAAGCACACTTCCAGGGTCGTCAGGGCAGATCTGACAGTAGTCTGGATAGCTATCACGCGAATAACCGTCTGGGCAGTGACCACAAAGAACGCCAGCGGAGCCTGAAGCGTAGCGCAGGTTGCATGGCTATTCACCTCTCAAATTCAATCACGCTTCATGTCCGGCTATGTACCCTCCAGTCATCAAACATGGCAATGGGAAATCCCCAGTAAAGTGGCATTGAAATCAGAAAATGGATGAAACTCGTCTATCAATGATGCTTTTCCAGCCAGTCATGTTTGATGAGTAGAGTCTTACTAGAGACTGCTGTCAGTTCCTTTCTGCAGCTGCCAGAGTAAGGACGGCACCGGTTCCACATCCATTGCCTCACAGCAAGAAACCACTCTATTTTGCACATCGATCTGCCACCAAGGTCTATGAAATAATGATGAAAATCAATGTTGAAAGTTGGTAACAATAAACCACCCATAGTTTGATGGTTTATATCACTCATTTATATTCATTTATGGTACAATTGGAATGGTTAACGGTTGGACCATGTCACACCATAGAGATGTCAAGTGTGCCAAGTGCTGCCATGTCTCCAAAGGGACCGTGGCAACCGGCTGGAGCTTGCAGGCCAAGCCGTTGCGAGACGCAGCCTTGACCACCCATGCAGGCTGAAGACCCGTCCGGCATGAGAACGTCGCACGATGTGGCCGTCGTCAGCCCTGTCTGGAAGAAGCCAGGCCTCCCATCTGCCAAACATCACAACGGACGGCAAACGATCGCGCCCCAATCCCCAATCCCCTTAAGTTTCAATGGGGAATTGGGTCTTCAGCCACTGCTCCCATTGGGATGTAAAAAGAACTAATCGGGGCAACGCTTTGGCCTACCTTACCTGCCTCTGCTTTACAAACATGTTACAAAAATGTGTTGTGATCATCTTGCGATTGTCATCCATCTCCGTTGCTTTTTGCGCTGGCTTTTGGTATAGCAGTTCCTGTTGTCATTTTCTTCTGCATCTCCTTTTGTTCTTCCCCTTGATGGCCGTCCTGTTCTATCTTCTTGCGCATGTGCTTATTCCCTCCCTTCTCCCCGTCTGTATATCCTATCCATTCCTATCTTAGCCATTCCTACTCTTCTTTTCGGAGGAAGGAAGCTTGTGATGAGAACATGACCGCCTAGTCCCGTGTGATTACGCAGTGACTGAAAATTGGAAGGCAAGCATCGTTCTGAGTGCAACTGAGGAACTGGGCTATAGGCAAGGCATGAACCCCTGGCCCAGAAGTCGCAGTGTGATTAGTCTGATTCTCAAAGCCACCTCTGCAGTCAAGGCCTTCAAAGGTGCAGAGAATACATTTATCAAGTTGCCCGCTGTTGCTATCAATGCTTGCATAGAAATTGGGTTCGCAGAAACAATCGGCCAGTGTAACTGCGCCCAGTTCACTGTTGGCATTCGCAGGGCACTTGAGCGGACACTCCCCATCCCCAAGATTCGGTTTGTAGCTTTTGCGCGGGCAAGGTTGGCAATCAGTCTCTTGAGATCCGTCAGCGTAAAATGTTCTGACAGCAAAGTAGCCTGGTTTGCAACTACAATCACTTCTTGCCCTTCTTTGATTCGTGGTGGTGGAATTGTTGGGGCACAATACTTTTTGCCCATCTCCGGTACAATAGGAGCCCTCGGGGCACGTAGTGCAGGAGCCCATGTCATCATCATAGAGCCCTTCCTGCCACAAGGAAAGTGCTTGACAATGCCCTGAAAGAAGCAAAGCCAATCGCTCAATTGTTGAGTCTATAGTATATGTATGAAATATGTTTATGTCTATGATCAAGTCTATGTCTATGCCTACGTCTATGTCTATGTATGTATGTAGGTATGTAGGTATGTAAGTATGTAGGTATGTAGGTATGTAGGTATGTAGGTAGGTACGTACGTACGTACGTACGCGCGTACGTACACACGTATGTATGCCAGTGTGTTTGTGTGTGTGTGTGTGTCTCTATGTCTGTCTGTCTGTATGTCTGTCTGTATGTCTGTCTGTCTGTGTGTATGGATGCATGGATGCATGTATGCATGTATGGATGGATGGATGTAAATGTATGTAAATGTCTTTAAATGTATGTAAAAGTAAGTAATTGTATGCAAATGTATGTAAATGCATGCATGTATGCATGCATGCATGCATGCATGCATGTGTGCATGTGTGTATGTGTGTGTGTGTATATGTATCTGACCATAGTGCTTGCAACACACACTAGGTCGATCAAAAGGCGCAAGGGGCAACAGGCAGCATCCTGTTTTGCAAATCTCGCTTGAACTCAAGTGGCCACTGATGCCTCTGCAGCCAACGTGCTTCTACAAACTCTACTGGACCTTGAACTTTTCCAGTCCAGCAGCAGCAAACCCTGGGAAACTACATCAGTCGCTTTGGGATCTGCTAGCCAAACTACTGCACCGTGCTGACTGGCAAAGCCCTCAGCATTCGGAGAAGAAGAATCTGCGTAGGTCACGACCATAGTTGCATAGCTCAAGGGAACAGGTCGTAGAACAATTCCTTGGCTCTTCGTGGCATGCAAATGGCCGACGGCTTCATACATGTTGTGCAGATCCTCGTATGTGGACTTCGCGCCCTTGCTGCTCAAGCTAACCACCGAGGCCACGTCAGGACGTGTCTGACCTGCAAGCCACTGCAGGCAACCAGGGACTGAGCGGAACCCGCCCAAATCGGCAGGATCCAACGTCTCCTTGAAACGCTTCTTGTTGACCTTGCCGCTCTTCATCTCAGTGATGAACTTCTCTTGGTTGAGATGCAACTCAAACTCTCCAGTGGCAGCGTTTTGCTTCAGGGCTTAAATGTTCCCCAGTACCAAATACAAAGGAGCAGAAAAGGTTCCAGCCAGCTTCATGATGCCATCTTGAGGAGGAAGAAGGTAGAGAGGTTCATGGCGTTCTTCAGGGCTCCCTTGAAGTCGAACTCCATTGCAGTTTGCCTGATGCCAAGGAGGATCTGCTTGATCATCTCGTCGGGGTAGTGTTGCGATAGAGTTGTCTCTTTTCCTTCAAGTGTCTGGACTCAAACGGCGAGACAGCCGAGCCAAAACGTGAGGACAGCTGGGAACTTGAAAGTCTTTCTGATCATCTGGCCCTTGGAATTGGTGGCGCCGTATGCACCAGAATGGCAAACTTAAAAACTCACGCCAGGCAACTTCGTCAGCTTGAGGATCAACGGTTCCAACCACAGTCGGCAAGTAACCGGACTTTCCAAAAGAAAGAAACACACCATTTGACGACCTGTCTGAGGAGCCGTCTTGCCTTGACTCTACGCATCAAGAGAAGAACCTTGCGCCGAATGTAGTTGACATTGTCCTGCAACAGGCACCAGTCCTTGCAGTCGATGCCCTGCACGAGGAACATGGGTCTGAAAGAGTCCAACAGGTGATCCACCTGGGACTGGTGCTCAGATCTGCTGAGGTCATATCCAGTGTTATAGTCAATTGGCCCCAGAGCTTTAAGTCCATAGCTCTTGGCTCGGAAGGAAAGTCCAGCCCTTCCTGCAAAGGTCTCTAACAAGTCCACTCGAGACCGATGCTTGAGCCTGTCAAGAGGTGAAGTCAAAGCTGAACTTGAGGATGAAGTCAAAACCTCGTGTTCAAACTGGGCCAAGTTCACAAACTGACGCACTGAATGTCGCAAGGTCTTTCGGCCTGCATTGGTGAGCAAGGTGGTTTGCAAAGGTTGTGTCATCTTGAAAGTCGTTCTAACAGTCCATGGTGAGCTCATGTAAAATGCCCCGGAATCATGCCATCCATAGCTCATAGTCTGATTCCTGCCATCCTTATACAACATCTCAACTGTGCACTCCGGGCAAAGTTGGTGAACATGAACTGGGCATAGATCTGGCACATTGAAAAACTCTTCCAGGCAAAACAACATCTTGCGGGGAACATGATGGACACGTGTCACATCCTGTCCATCAACTTGCCACTCATCAGCTACGCAACGTCCCTCACATCCATCGGAACGTCCCATCCATGGTAACCGTCCTCCCCATTGCCCGAGTCCACTGGATAGGCTTCCGGATCGGACTCCGGCAGGTGAACCATCTGGGTCTGGGCAGGCGGTCTCGCCATCGCTTTCGAGGCAGTGGCCCTCGATGAAGTCTTGCCCTTGCCTTTCACCGGAGCGTCCATGATCGGCAGGATGTTGGAAGATGAGGGAGGTGGGAAGGCACCCATCCTTCGCGACTTGGATCCCACTTGTACCTCTGTCGCATCTGAGGCATCTGCTGAAGGATCCCTTGTTGTTGCCGTACCTGGTGAAGGACGGATGCAGGCATGTCGCTGGGTCTTCCTTGGGACGTGGGGCCATCTCGTCTTGCTGTCGTTCTAGTTCTCTCTGATGCTCCCACATTGACATCCAGCTTCTCGGCATCATACCAAACTTCACCAGTCTCGACATCGCCTTGAAGGCCTTGATCTGGAGCATCATCAGCCGCAGCACCACGGTCTCCCATCAGAACGAAGCCTCTGATCGGGCAGGTCGGAGCATCATCCAAGGAAGTCAGGGCCGCGGTGGCTGATCACGAATTGAGCCTTTGTTGATTGCGCCGGGCGCACGGATCAGCTCAGGGTCAGGATCTTTCCAAATTTCTGACTTTGGCAACTGTTTCCAACATCCATGTGTGGCAACCCCATCCATGAAATGCACAATACTGACTGCAAGGTGTCCATGTCGTTGAGTCAAAGGCATGGACAAACCCAAAGGTAAAGGTGAGAGTCTTCGTGCGCATGTATCCCAAACGTTCCAGCGAAGTGCGACTTGCCAAAAAAGGAATGCCAGTTCTCAAAACGCTTGCAGCAAAACCCATTCCTTGTGTCTCCTGGCCTGCAAAGGCTGCCGGGAAGTAGGCTCGCTGCTGCAACTCCACAGGACGTCCTGAGCCGAATTGAAATTGGTCAGTGCAATCGTGAAGTTTCACCCGGAGACCATGACGCTGGAGGATCTTGGAGTGAATCTTCAGCCATGGTTCTCCGCAACATGAGCGTTGACATGCTGTGTCTAAAACCATGAAACCACCCAAATCAACAGCTTCTGTCACCCAAGTTGTAGAAAGTTCTGTGCCAAGTACATGCGCGGTGGTGAAGGTGAAATCGCTAGAGGCACTTTGGGGTTCCATGTCATGTGGGTCATGTTCATCATGTTGTGGATCTTCATGTGAAAATCCAACCACGTAGGTCTTCTTGATGTTCTTTCCCCCAAAACTGCCAGCTTTCGTGGTAGATGAACTCTGGCCACCAGATCGATGCCCTTTTCCATCTTTCTTGCCGCCACGCTCTGAAGACATTGGACAGCCATTGTCACCAGCCCAATGACCGATCTGGCCGCAGGCCCTGCAAGAACTAGTCTTCTTGCGCTCCTCAATGCTACGTCTTCCAGAAAACGTTCGACCCAACACTGAGGCCTGCAACTTCTTTGACGTGACAGTCAAAACTTGGGCGGTCTCTGCAAGATCTTCAGGACTCAAAGCTGCTTCTTCTTCTTCTTCGTCATCACCGTTCTCCTCAGCATCTTCCTCGGCAATGGGCTCTAATTCGGTCCCATCATGTTCAACTTCAGCTGCATCCTCAAATTCGGCGTCTGCCGACTCATCACCATCAACATGTTCCGTTTGGAAAGCTCTTCGGGGGCCACCTTTCCCCTTTGAGGAAGCTTGACTAGAAAAGCTAGAAGAGGATCTCAGGGAGGACGCCTATAGAGCTAACTGAGGACCCCGTTGAACTAGATGCTGAAGAACCCTTGTTGCTGTTGCCCTTTCTACTGTTATTCCAGTTATTGCCAGGGAAAAACAAAGGAGGGCTAGGCTTGAAGTCGGGAAACTGGAGGCAAAAGCTCTCGTAGATCTGATCGTAGTGCAAGCTGTTGCCAGCACCAATGAGAACCAAACGTTGAAGGTCCGGAGACAAAAGGCAGCGCTCAAGCACTCGATTTCCTCGAGATTCCGCATCATACATTGCTGATGATTGAATGCCAACATCCTCCAGGTCACGCTCAATGCGCCTATATCTATTCATATTCTGCCGAACAGTCTCCTGACCAGTGCACTTCACAGTCTCAAAGTCGCTCAGCAGCTTGCGCTTCTGAAACTAGACACGTTGTTGGAGAGGTCCACGCAACTTGTTCAGGATGTACTGCACTCCATCCTTGTCATTGACACGCTTCAAATCAAAGCGTTCCGCCTCAGACCCGGCCCCGCCCTGTAGCGAGATATACAAGGCCAACCCCATCTCGCTGGATGTCATGTAGTTCTGATTGCAGTACCCAAGCCTGCACCTTGCCCTCAAACTTGCTGAAAGCTCTCAAGTCATTCTGTTGGTACTGCCATGTGGGAGGCGTCGGAGCTGTCCGTCCCCCCACGCCATCGCATTCCAGGAGCACGGCCACGGGCACTTGTCCAAGAGGACTCACTTCCATCGTACCTCTTCTTCTGATCACTCAACAGCTGCTTCATCACATTCAACAATTCTGCATTGCCATCACCTTGAAGCTGAGCATTGGAATCCGGTGAGCCTCGAAGTCCATCAGGTGGTGCATGAACCGGACCATGAGAAGCACTGGAGCTTCCACGACGTCGTCGTCGCGGTCCGAACTTCTCAGGATCGACAATTGGATCTGCCGTGGGCGCCTCACTTTCAGCACGCTCCGAGAAACTCCCGGAGCTACACACATCGGGAAATCCTCTACGAGTAGCTGCAAGGCTTTTAGAAGGTGAATGTTCAACCGAACCATGAGCATCAGAACCATGTGGGGATTCACCATCAGCTGACATAGAACTGGTTCTGTGGGGAACATCCATGTTCCAGTGGCAGTTTCTAACTTAGCAGGCTCGCCAGAATTCAAAAACTCGGTGCCACCACATGAAATGCAGTAATACGACCCATCAGCGTCTACAGTCCAGTCATCAGCTCTGAAGCGCAAGCAACACCATTGGGCTCGTCGGCAAGCATCAGGACCCTTAGGATCTACTTCAGCCGAACCATCGACACTCGGTAACCATCTCCTCTCTTCTGCAGCGATCTCTGAAGATGTCCAGCTGAACTCAGAAACATCGTCAGCGAAGGGGTCGAAGTCCGGCATGCCATGGCTCCGCTGCCAACTGACCATAGTGCTTGCAGCACACACTAGGTCGCACCAAATCGCAATGATCAAATGGTGCAAGGGGCAACAGGCAGCATCCTGTTTTGCAAATCTCGCTTGAACTCAAGCGGCCACTGATGTCTGGCGTTCAGCGGCTGCAGTGACGCATGGAGGAAACATCTGATCATGTGCTATTACAAGCAGGATTCATTTGAAAATTCACAATGTATACGTATATGTATACGATTGTATACGTATATGTATACGTATATGTATACGTATATATGTATGTGTGTATGCGTATAATTGTGGTGAATGATGGTGAATGTGTGCATAAATTGTGTGTGTGTTTGTACGGGTCGTATATTGTTCGCCGCAAAGCCGCCACGAGGCTCAAATATGATTATATAAAATAAAATAGTAACTGGAAGACCCTTTGCTGCAAGTTGTTCGTGCCTGACATTTGCAGTCTTGGCTCGAGTTTGAGCCTGTCTGCACTGTGGATCTTTGTGCCCCACATCTGGTACAAACGGCATTGGCAATGTCGGCCTGCCACGCACAAACAAGCGCGTCACTCTGAGTGAAAAAGTTGGGGCAATGTCAATGCGGCTGGAAGCAAAAAAACGTGGGCAGCTGCTCTCCTGTATCCGTACCTCATCGTACCTCCAAACCTACAGTAGATACAATGAATATACAATGAGTGGCTAGGAGTAGCTCAGCATAGCTCAGCATCTCTGCACGGCGGCCTTGTATTCACCTTTGAGGCATGCAGTGCAAAAGTCGCTGGTCGGATCATATCCATAACCAGGACTGCACTGGCAGTCAGCCGCACTCTGGACTGGAAAACCTGCGGTTGTTCAGATGCAAAAACTGAAACAATGCCTTTCAATTGACGATTTATTGAATTTATTGTGTATTCTGGCTTCACTGGATCTGGTTCTTCAATTTAAACTGCAAGGCCTGGAGGTATTGAGCGATGTCGAGCACAAGTGACCGTCACATACTTGGTCTCCGGTGCAGAAGTCATGTTCAGCTGAATGCCGGCGCTGGACAATGTCCTCACGGCGACAGGGGTGAACAAACGACGCTGCGCGCATCCCGGGACCAATCAAGTGCCATGGCTGCAGAACAAGTGACGGATTGGATTGCACTGCACCAGCGATTTCATTGTTCAACGTTTGAACCTGCCAACATGCCGCACAACATGAAGAATGAAAAACTTGAAGAATCACCATTCTTAATAGGTAAATAGTGGTTTAAATATATACATATATATATGTATGTATGTATGTATGTATGTATGTAATGTATGTATGTGATTTTGTTTGTCTTGTTTGTTTGTTTTGTTTTGTTTGTTTGTTTTGTTTGTTTGTTTATATATGTATGTATTATTTATATTTTATATATATAAATAAACGAACCATTTTCCATAGCTATGCTAAATGATATGGCTTTTTCAGAAGCCAGGAAACTGACAAGTCCGCAGCAGTTGTCTGCGCTTCGGCATCGGATCGCGTGTTGATGGTAATGACGATGTCTGACAGATCAAAGAGCCGCCGAGACTCAAAAATATCCGGTGCCAAATCTCCAAGCCGTCGGCCGAAAAGATTTCCAAAGTCCTCGGGCAAAAAAAAAAGGCTATACCGTATCAACCTGCCGCGGTCAAAAAAAAAAAGAGCAAACGCCACAATCATGGGTAGTCGATGGTAGTCATACAGAGTCATACATATCATATCATGTCATGTCATGCCATATCATATCGTTACATAACCAAAGTCCTTGATTAGGCTCAGAAATTTGCACATCTTTTGTTAGGAGACATGTGTGCTTTTTCATGGTCGGCGACCACCAGCAGGACCATCAAATGTGCAGGCAGATCCCTTTTGTTGCTTCTGGGATGTCTTTTTTTGGATCAATCAGCTCACCATATACTTGGGGGGTGCAGTTGCAACATGTTGCAATTATAAGTGGATGTTGTTGATCATAGTTATGGCTTATATCCCAACTTATTAGTGCTTAGAATCCCACGGTTATATCAAAAGTCACTGGCCCGCACCAATGCTAGCTCACTGTGGCTTTCGGGGACAAGACGCAATTTCAATGGCCGAAGGATCGACTCCGGTGGAGGCAGCCAAACTTGTCAGGAACATGTCCTTGGCGCACAAGGAGCAGGAGCGAAAGAGAGCGCCTTCCCATTTACGAGATGTAAGATACGTGCATCTATATACATATATACACAGCGTATATATATATATATATGTGTGTGTGTATATACATTTATATTTATAATTATTTATTCATTTATTTATTTAGTTAGTTAGTTATTATTTAGCTATTTAGTTAGTTAGCTGTTCATTCAATGTATTTTTTATTTACATATTTAATGTATACATCTATTTATTTACTTATTTATTTACATATTGTTTTTATATACCTACATATACTTAAAATGTGTATATTATATATGCATATATACGCGTATAAAGTGTACGTGATGTTTATTTGTAATTATGTATTTTAGTAATTTATTTATATATATATATATGTGTGTGTACACAGTACATTTGTCGTGTGCACGTCGGAATAAATGCACACTTTAAATCCCATTTAACGAACGCTGCCAAGCTGCAATGAGCTGTGCGCGAAGTGTCTCTGGATCTTCAGTGGCTGGAATTTGTCCAATTGAAAAGCTGAAAGAAATTGCCGGGACTGTTGCTGAGCTCTGCAAATCCCCACTGCCACTGCCACTGCCCGCTACAGGCGTCTCTTCATAACAAGAAGAGTTTGAAATTGCACCAACTGCATAAGTTGTATAATTTTCTGGGCACACAATGCACTGCCCGTCGTTGCCTTCGAAATCCTTATAAGACCCAACGGCACAAGCCGTGCAGCCATCCGCTCCACTGGGTTCGAAGCCCTTCGCACAAATACACGCGTCCCTGGAAGCCTCGGAGTTCAAATTCAGACTCTCAGACTGGTTAAGATCGGGATTCCCAGACTGGTTCATGGTATATACTCCTCAATAAACCAAGTGAGTACATCCCACCATCCACAACCCCCTGTGATTATCAACAGTGGGTGATAACAGCTGAGGAAGTCAGATTTGCGCAAAGAATTCCGCGCAATAGTCCGACCTCATGCACGCATAGTTGATCTTGTTTTTTTACACACGATGGTGAAACTAGACCTGTGCGGCCCATGGCCCATGGTCCTTTTCAAGTTTGCACCTACTGTGAACTGCCTTGATTTTGAAGTGTGTGTGTGTGTGTGAACCATCTGAATAGATGTAAAACTTCTACTTCCGTTTTTGAATTTACTTCCGATTTCACTTGTTCTTTACAAGCAGGGGGGTGCGGCATGATTGTGGGACCGCACTCAACGAAGCTACCACAATCATGGGATACTGGGTCTGATCAACCCAGCGTACCTGCCATTTCAATCTCTATTTTTCGTCAATGGCAACCGGCTAAGCCAAGAACCGGCATGTCGAACAATTGGTTTCTGCTTTTCCTTTTTCCACGGCACAGCTGTCGCAATCTTTGAAGAGAGGTAACGACTTGGTTCAAATGGATAAGTTGCTGTTAGCAAGGACATTGAAAGAATTCCTTCGCACTGTTTCTCACCTCTGGTCACAACCAATTCCTGTCAGGTTTTATTGGAGTGTTTTTTGCACGTAAGATGCATTCCACATCAGAATTCGTAATGACTGTTCTGAGCAAGTGTGTGATTCATGCTGGATTCGTCAAGGTGGCATGAACCCTTCGGGGGATGTTTTTCTAAGCAGAATGTGGATGCAACGACCCGATGTCTGAATTAACACATTTTAATTTAGCAATTCGTTTAAGTAAAGTGAAACAGACGTTCACCTTTCAGGTTTCACTCTGTCGGTCGTCTTTTGGTTAAACAGTCTGCCGCTGTGACTGGCCTCACCATTTTTGTCTGACTTCAAAGGGTTTGTAGCCTTCAGCCGCGACAACCTTCTTTTTTCATATTGCTCGAGCATTTTCAGATGTCGACAATTGCAACATGAGGATTCCAGGCACAGGACATGCTTGCAGGTATTGTGACTCTTCAATTGCTTGCAATAGTCCAACCTCATGCACGCATAGTTGATCTTGTTTTTTTCCACACGATGGTGAAACTAGACCTGTGCGGCCCATGGCCCATGGTCCTTTTCAAGTTTGCACCTACTGTCAACTGCCTTGATTTTGATGGATTTTGAAATGTGTGTGTGTGTGTGTTTGCTCAAGCATCGCCCCAATGCACAATGCTGTAGCAGAAAATTATTGCAACGGAACAGGATGCAGGTACCGATTGCGGGTCATCCCAGGAATGGATGGATTTTTGAAAAAGTGTCTGCGTCACCACCAACCAGCAACCAATCTTGTGACACAAGTGGAACATACCCTTATACTAAACAGAATCATTGTTATCCATTGTCATTGTTCTATACTTAGGCATGTATGGATCCTGGACCCTCAATGATTCAAACAGATTCAAACGTACCTGAAATCTGCGTCCATTTGAACTTCGCAACTTAAAATATCTTAAAATCATTGCAAACTGCATGCCGAAGCGTACTCTTTGACAAAAACATGCCGAAATACACACAATGGCACTTCTGTGGATGGTCGGGCAGACTCCACGTCGAACCCCAAGAATGTGCTACAAATTGAAGGTCCTCGACTACATTTACTAATGATTAATGGATCTATGACATGACATGTGACAAAATATGCCCCCCACATGCACCTGTTTGAAGCGCTGATTGGGATGTGCTCTCTCTCTCTCTCTCTCTCTTTCTGTCTCTGCAAGATATAGAGGAGTGATGACGAGTGAGGTGTCAAGGCATAGTGAGATACCAATACTTGCCAATCGTAGATCTCTCAACAGAATACCACATATCTCATACATATCTCATATGGAATGCTACAAATATCATAAATAGATGCACTGAAACATCGGATCTATCTTCGGATCTATATACCTTCGGATCCGTTCTTTTGTTCTTTTACGGAACATTGTCATGTCGTGTCAAGTAGCTGATCCCTTGGACAGAGTCGTTTCACCATTGGCACAGGGAATCCTTGAAGCCCACTGAGGTCGTCCCCCAGCACAGTAATATCCTCGAGAGCACAGCTCACATTTCAGGCCTGCGCGCCGGGCCGCAGGGCCGCAGGGCATGTGGAGCTTCAAAAATCGTGAGATTTCAAAGGAGAACAGCCAACCCCTGAGTATTGAATCAGATTGAAAATCTATTCATCTATTGTGTCTGCTAATTGAGAGCCTTATTGGCAGTATTTCGTTCTTGGATGGGTCTGATCGTTAAAAAATTCAGACTCGGCCTTTGACTGCTTTTTGATGGTTTTTGCGGCGTCAGCAATCTTGACACTTGAAATAACTTGAACACTCTTAGAGCCTGGAAAATGATTTCAGAAAAAGTGCTGAAACTTAGGTTCTTCCCTGCGCTGTTAAACCAAGTACCCTCCGGTAATTTAACACGGCTATGGAAAATGTAGAAACAGGGTACAAACCACAACGTACCACAAAATACAGCTACAGCACACGCACTATTTCTTGAGCCATACGCACGATATTCAAAGGGTGAAAACACTATATACATGTGGTACTACTGTGCATCAACACCCCCCGTGCAGTGTAATTACCGCACAGGAAGTGAAGCTGCAAATTAGAGGATGCACTACAGAGTTAAGGGATGCCGTTATAACAAAAACAACAACAAACCCAAAGAACAAAAACCCCCCGGGGCGCAGCCTAACCTTTCGTAGTACTTTCGTCTTCACCTCAGGCGTGCGAACAGTTGGCAAACAAGAGCAAAAGTGACAATGCATATCGTTCGGCTCTACTTCACGTACAAAGGCCAACGGATGCAGTGAACATCAATTCGGGCGGATGCATTCAACTTTATTTTTAGGCTCGACTGGGCTTGTGGTCGAACATGCAAGGTGGAAAGAAAAGGTCTTGGCCCAATACTAGGCCAGCGTTTCCACGCGGCAACAAAAGTTCTTGTGGTCGCCCAGGAGCTTGCCAAAGCAAAGCGTTATGAATTAAAGCAAAATGCTGAATTCAATCTTGGTGTGAACCCGCAGGGAAGCTTTCAGAAATGCTTCAAAGATGCCTTAACTTCGCAAGGCAAGAGCTTCCGCTCTGCGGTTCATGCAACTACCAGCCGTGTGCTATGCAAGAAGGAATCATGGCAAGAATAAGATGAGTGCCAAATGCCTGCTTCAAATTATATGCATTCAAAGCGTTAATGAAACTTTTGTGAACTTGAATAGATTGGCAAAAATTCCGACTTAGCACACTTGTGTTGGACATGATGGTGGAATCGCTCACCCACCTGTGGAAATGAAGCTAATCGCCTAACCGAATTAAATCCGAAAAGGCAACAGCTTCCGCTGTGCGACACCGTGCAATGAGAGGAAAATGCCCCGCCTCAGATGAAGATAAATCCACCAGGCAAGAGGTTCCCCTCCGCGGTGCCTCAGCGATAGCCCGACCAACGTCGATCCCGATATTGATGGCCTTGGTTTCGACGGCGCCACTCTTCCCACTCGTGGTCAGTCCACTGATTGTAGTAGTCATTCCATTCCTGCTGACTGTAGCCATGAGTGGGCCCCTGATGAGAACCATAGCCAGGACGCGAGGACCTGGTGACATCTGGGTTCTGCTGCTTCGTTGCAGGCAGGGGTCGGCTTCCGCCTTCCGTGTCCTTGGCCTCCGTGAGGGGGCGCAAGATGTTATCGACATAGCTGAGAATGTCGGCATACACATCCTGCTTGGACAACGCAAGGGATTGGAACGTCGTGTTGGCGACGCTCAAGACCTCGAAACGCTCGGCCACCGGAATCAAGGCATAGGCGGCCGCGAACTGGTTGGCTCTGTAAAAGCGGTTCTTGTACCAGATGAGGACATGATCATCCACAATGATCGTCTTCATCTGTTCCTCCTCGTATGCGACCATGCACATACGCGCTTTGTACTGCCGAATCTTTCCAGTTCGGATCTCCTCTCGCGTGCGCTTGATGGAGGGAAGCACCACATTGCCCAAAACTGTAATCCAATGCATACACCGAGGTGTAAGGTCCTGGACCGCACAATTAAAGGCGTAGTGGGCGTCCGTTCCCAGACGCTGTAGCAAGGTCAGTCCAGCTTTCCTCGCCTGCTTCATGTATGAGCGGGCGTGATTTTTGAGGACTGCCGCAGCAGATCTGATCTGCTTGGCACCTTGGGTGGTGCCTGCTACGTCGTCGTCGCCCAGAAGGTCCAACGTCAGCTCGAAGCCCAGCTTCTCCGCCAACTCTTCCAAGCGAAACACCTGGCACGCACGGCGCATGTCGGACATAGTCGCAAGCGACAAGCCGCATGCAAGGCACACCAACATCCCCTCAGGAAAGATCTTCCTGCACCGGGGGCATGTCAATTCTGGCATAGCCAACATCGAGACATACCGCCAGCGCGTGAGGTTCCCCTCCGCGGAAGGGTCAAATGCCTCCTGATCGAAACGATCAGAACGGCGTTCCCGCGCGTTGTCAGGGGCGATGTCGAAGCCAGCAGCAGTTGCCGTCGGCTTGCGTGCCACACAAAGGAGATTGGTGAAGTTGAGCGGCCTTTGCTTGAACTTCGGGAGCAACTCATCGACGACAGGATATGGTGTCGGAACTTCCTTGTAAATGAGCGGACGTCGCAAGGTGATGACATCCTTCCACTGGTCGTACTCATTCACGAACATGTTCTTCAACACCTCCAGGTCCGAAACCTCGTACCTTTCAAGTTCGTCGTAGTTGGGAGTGCCCTTCCGAGCCTCGTTCTCCTGCCAAGTGAGGGCGTTCTCGGAGGCCTTGTCCCGAAGGTACTTCTTCACGCCGTTGTAGCCATGATTCGCCCAAAGGTATTGCGACTTCTCGCAATCGAATGCGTAGATGAGGCAATGATTGGGCACCCAGTCCTCAGTGATGAGTGCACCGGCCAAGGTTTCCACCAGGCGAAGACCATAGTGCAGAGCACAATCGGTGTCGATCGCGATGCACAGCGGTCTGTTCGTTCTGACGCCTGGATCCTTGCCTTCGATTTCCCAAGGCGCATGGCGGGTCATATAAGCATGACCCTTGCATGAAGTGGCCCCTGGAAAAATCCCCGTGCAAATGATCTGCTGGAGGGAGTCCCATGAAGTGTAATGGTAAATAACCTTAAACTCTTCTGGGACCTCGGCTTCCGCCAGGTGAGGATAAATGGGGACCCTGGGGTAGAATCCCTTCTTCAAGTCCTCGACCGTGAACTGGTAGTCAAGCGAGATGATTTGCTTAACCAATGGAGCCGTCCCCACCTTGTCAATGAGCGACTGGTCATGGCCTTGGCAGGCCTTCACGTGGGTGATGCGGTATGGCATGTCCATGGTTGTCAGTTCCCCGACAATTCCAGCCTGAATGCGGCACATGAACCTGTCCTGAGTTCGAAGAATCAGGTACAAGTCCTGTCGCGAAAGCTGAGCACGATGCCGCTTTCGGAGGTACGTGTACATGGACTCAAAGTTCACGTACAGCTCCTCATCAAATTCAGGAGGAATATGGCGATGGTGCGCCTCGAGGAATTTGTGATCATACCCACGGAGAAGCCCGGTCACCCTCTTCGAAAATTTGAAATCATCATGACTGAGTCTTCCAAGGTCCCTCAGGCCTGGCAGGTCGGTACATCGAACGATGAATTCCCTGCGCTCGCCCGTTCCCGGGGAGTAGAAGTACCACTTGGGGTATCCCTCTGGTCGCAAGGGCGGTTCAGCCGGAGGCTGAGGTCCACCCGTTCCCGGGGGAGGAGCACTGGCCATAGGCGGCTCCTTCTTGGCCATCTTCGGGGCAGGCTCCGACGAAGACGCAGCAGCAGGCGCCGATGACTTCTGCGGAGGTGCCCTCGGTGAGGTTGTTGTCAACGTTGCAGGCGGTGCCTTAAAGGGCAAAGCTTTGGGCATAGGATGGTCCGCAGCTTCCGCTGGGAGTGCAGGTGGCTCCGGCTTGGGGGATCCAGTTGCACTCTTCGGAGTCGGTGGCGGACTGGGCTTTGGGGACGCCATGGGAGACGTTCCCGTCGCCGTTGAAACCTTTGGGAGCCGCGGAGCAGGCTTGGGCTGAATCATGGTAGCCTGATCCCTCATCTTTGGTTTGATGAACTGGCTGACAGTGTCCCCGATCACCTGTGCGATGCCGCTCGAAGATGATGCCGCTTCGGATGAGGAAGCCGCCTTCGACTTGGCCTTCGACATGATCTGGACAGTGGCAGCAGGGTCACCCGCGCGAAGTTTCTCCTCGGCGGTCTTGGGCTCCTCAAAGATCTCCCGTTCCATCTGACGATGCTTCTCCTCATCCGTCAGGTCAAAGCGACGAATGATGACTGTACCATCTTCGGTCTGCTGCATGGATTCCTGCCGAAGTTCAAGCTTGGCAGGGTCACGTGTGACGTCGGTGTCCAAGATGTTCACTACGCCAGAACCATCCAATCTGAAGTCCACAGCATGGATCTTGTTCATCAGATGGGAGCGCAGCTTCCGCTGGCTAAACATTGATGCTGAGCCGCCGACGATGGGTTCTCTGAAGACAATCTCCTCGTCAGCGTCCGGCTCGTCAATGTCGCGCTCGTCGGAAACACCAGGCAACCGATCCAAGAAGGGCTTGAGGATGGCGTCGATGAGCTCACCATCCACCTCCGGCTCTTTGATCTCATGCGGTTCAAAGTGCTCGGGTTCCCCCGGCAGTGCAGCATCCACGGACTCCAAAAGCTGCCAGTTTGATGGGCCACAGTGGCATCATCCTGCACCGTAGGAGCCTGTGCGACTTGGGCACGTGCGGGGTCAACTTCATTGGGAAGCCGTTGCCCTTTGGGTCGGGTCTCCTTCACATAGATTTCCCAACCGTCCACGTCCATGGAGACCAACACTTCTTCCATCTCTTCCCATTGAGGGTTGTTTTCAGGTTGAGGGTTGGCCAGCGATTCCTCGCGGCGCTTCTTCATCTCAGCCATCTCAATCAATGGCTTGCACGACCGAAGTCGAAAAAGATGATAGCCGAGAGCGCCAGCTTCGGAATAGAAGCGAATGCACTGGAGACGGTTGTGCTCCGAATTCTCCATGTGCTGGCCGTCGTATCGTGTAGTACACTTGATAAGCGACGTGG